TTATCGACATTACTGCGCCGAACAAAACCGTCAAAAAACGTTCTTGAAACATTTTTTGCTTCTTAAAATAAAAAATTCGTATTCGATCAAAGAGTAAATGCCAATTCGTGATATCAAAAATTGAAAAATCTTTTCATACTTGGCATAAATCTCACTATTAAAAGATTCAGCCTTGTATCTTTGATGTATTTTTTTCTTTTTTTGTTTAAAGTTTTTTTTAAATATAACGTATAAATTGTATTTTCTTTTTTTCTTTTTTTCTTTTTTACTTAAAAATCCGCGAACGATAAATACGTCTGTTACCTTCTCTCGAAAGAAGACGTTTATGGATGATGGATGCACAATCGACAAAAGATGATTGCCAAGTGAACATAAGAGTGTTGATATTTGATGCAATATTTGTTTTCCGAGATACTTGAAACTACTCCATTATAATTAATCCTTTTTTTTTTTGCAATATTAATATTTATTATCATGACATAATTAATATAGTATATCATAAGATCAATATTTAATAGAAAAATGGATATAAAAGTTTTAAAAAAAGATGAGATAAATATTGGTATGTATTAGGATATGTATTTCTAAATACATAGATATATATTTTTCACAAAGTTATTTATTTGAAATTCATCTTCACTCCGTTTCTGGCATTGATGTCTCTAAAACTTCTTCTTCTTCAATAACAAAAATTTATTTATCTTGCATATTATAATTTACATTATCTTAATTTTATATATATATATAAAAATACACAACTTTTAATAAAATTACAATTTTTTTCTTGAATAATAAAAGATAACAAATAACAATATATGTATTATAATTTTACATTTGAGAACTTGTATAGATATATCAGTTTCTTTAATTTTGTTGAAGAAATACAAGATTCTTCTTAGACATTTTAATAAATCATAACTTGGGTACCATTATTCTTTAACTGTGATCATTTCAATGATGTCAAGGTTTAAAGTAACTTCTGATAATAAGCACGTATGAACATCTATAAGATAGCCTAGATAAATATATTCTTAGGATACTTTTTACAGTTTTATTATTTACAATAATAAATACAATAAATAAAAAAAGAAATATAGATTGGATTATATAGATTGGATGAATTATCTATTTGAAATTAATTAATAAATATAACAAAGAATTGATTTTTTTCTCTTTCAAATTATTGCAAATATAAAATATTTTATAACTTAACTAATAGGTGGCTATCAATGAATTAAATTTTAAATGTGTCAAATTTATCTGATATTTTAAGTGAATGATTATTTTTTAAACATATCATATTGACTTAAAAGAAGGATTATGTAAAGAAAATAGGGACATTACGTGTAATCATAGCCTTCCATTATTTAAAACAAACAAGTCTTTATATTGACAATTGTTAAAAAAAAATATGTGAGTTTACGTATTTGAGAAACATTCTTCATTGAATTCTTTATTAATCCTACAAAATATTTTTTATTAGAATATAGAAAAATTCAAGTAAATAAAATTTACAAATAATTTTGACTAATAAATTTAGTTTTAGTTTTAGTTTTAATGAAAAGTAGAAAATAGCAAAACTTTCAAGGAAACTGAGCATATTGTTCAAAATGAAAGAATAAATTCTTAATTTTTGAAAACTTTAGTTTTAAAATAATTAAAGATTTTTATGAATGTTGATGTTTTAATTATTTTGATATATGGAGATTAAAATAATTGATTTATAAAAATATTTATTTCTATTGTAAACAGTTTCAATTTCAATGTTGACGTTTCTTATAGTTTCTTATTGGGTTTTCATATTTTGAATTCATTAAGATTTTCTGATCAACCGATAAATTTAAGTTGAATATTATTTCTTTTTCTTCTATTACAAAGTTGAACTGGACGTTAGAAGGCATGGTTCGATGGAAGAACATTGGATTCTTACTATAGTCTACGGATACCCTGTTTATTTTATCGACATAAAGAAAATTTCTTTGACAACAACACAACAGCAATGAAATTATTGATCACGTTTTACCTTGCTTTTCATTTCATCAGGATGAATTTAAGTTAAATCTACTCTCTTATCATATCACAATTTCATCATTTTCCAAATTATTCTATTCCCAATTATTTATTAACTTATTCCAATGTTACTTTATTCCAATCTATCCATATTTTTTCACAAATAAAAATAAAAACGATTTCTCTCAAATTAATGACACTGTGTCACGCTTTTACCCTTTACCCTTTCTTCAATTCTTCCCCTTGATATAGAAAATATTAAATTTTCAAATATATACATATATATATATCCTTTTAACTTCTATCCTTTAACAGATCAAATTGCCAGATTTAAACTCGTGAGGAAAGATTCGAAGTCGAAAATTAATAAAAAAAAATCATCCCTGGACAAAGAAAGATGTCCAAAGATCCTCTTAAACCATTATACAACAAACTTTCTAGAATAAACCGTGTTCGAGACCTTCTTCCCCCAACGTATTTATCCATCCCCTGCTCCAATCGGTTCCCCTGCTCCATCGCCGCTCTTTCGAATGATCTGAATAATTGATGCGATTAGGGGAGGGGGGCTCCCCGTCGAGAAACAAGAAACAAGATGGCGGACACGGTGAGCGAGCGGACGTCTGCGCCCACGGCGGGATG